GTCCCTTCCTTCTTTCCTGCGTCCCTTCCTTCTTTCCTGTGTCCCTTCCTTCTTTCCTGTGTCCCTTCCTTCTTTCCTGCGTCCCTTCCTCTTTCCTGCGTCCCTTCCTTCTTTCCTGCGTCCCTTCCTTCTTTCCTGCTTCCCTTCCTTCTTTCCTGCGTCCCTTCTTTTCCTGCGTCCCTTCCTTCTTTCCTGCGTCCCTTCCTTCTTTCCTGCGTCCCTTCCTTCTTCCCTGCTCCCTTCCTTCTTTCCTCGTCCCTTCCTTCTTTCCTGCTTCCCTTCCTTCCTTCTCCCTGCGTCCCTTCTTTTCCTGCGTCCCTTCCTTCCTTCTTTCCTGCCGTCCCTTCCTTCTTCCCCCCCGTCCCTTCCCCCTTCCCCCCACTCCCCTTCCCTCTCCCCTCCCCTTCCCTCTCCCCTCCCCTTCCCCCTCCTCCTTTCCCCTCCCCTTCCCCCTTCCCCCCACTCCCCTTCCCCCTTCCCCCTTCCCCCCACTCCCCTTCCCCCTCCCCCGTCCCTTCCTTCCTTCTCCCTGCGTCCCTTCTTCCCTGCGTCCCTTCCTTCCTTCTTCCCCCCCGTCCCTTCCTTCCTTCTCCCTGCGTCCCTTCCTTCTCCCTGCGTCCCTTCCTTCTCCCTGCGTCCCTTCCTTCTTCCCTGCGTCCCTTCCTTCTTCCCTGCGTCCCTTCTTTCCTGTGTCCCTTCCTTCTTTCCTGCGTCCCTTCTTCCCTGCGTCCTTCCTTCCTTCTTTCCTGTGTCCCTTCCTTCTTTCCTGTGTCCCTTCCTTCTTTCCTGTGTCCCTTCCTTCTTCTCTGCGTCCCTTCCTTCTTTCCTGCTCCCTTCCTTCTTTCCTGGTCCCTTCCTTCTTTCCTGCGTCCCTTCCTTCCTTCTTTCCTGCGTCCTTCCTTCTTTCCTCGTCCCTTCCTTCTTTCCTGCGTCCCTTCCTTCTTTCTGCGTCCCTTCCTTCCTTCTCCCTGCGTCCCTTCCTTCTTCCTGCGTCCCTTCCTTCCTTCTCCCTGCGTCCCTTCTTCCCTGCGTCCCTTCCTCTTTCCTGCGTCCCTTCCTTCTTCCTGCGTCCCTTCCTTCTTTCCTGCTCCCTTCCTTCTTTCCTGCGTCCCTTCCTTCCTTCTTCCCCCCCGTCCCTTCCCCTTCCCTCTTCCCCCTTCCCCCTTCCTCTTGCCGTTTCCCCGTCCCCGTCCCTGTCCCTGTCCCTGTCCCTTTCCCATTTCCTTTCCCCCCGTTCTTTTCCCACTACCCTTTCCCGTCCCCGTTCCGTCCTCGGTCATCTCTTTTTATTCCCCATTTTCCCCCTCTCCTCCCTCTCCCCCATTCCCCATCGCCGCAACTGCGTGCGGGAGTGATCGATCTGGTATGAAGCACCTGAGCATCATCATGGCCGTTAAAGCGGAGCAAACATTGTTGTTGTTGAACACTTAAAAGAACCATCCCCGTCCCTCCTTCCTTCTTCCCCCCCGTCCCTTCCTTCTTCCTGCGTCCCTTCTTCCCTGCGTCCCTTCCTTCTTCCCTGCGTCCCTTCCTTCTTTCCTGCGTCCCTTCCTTCTTTCCTGCGTCCCTTCCTTCTTTCCTGCGTCCCTTCCTTCTTTCCTGCGTCCCTTCCTTCTTTCCTGCGTCCCTTCCTTCTTTCCTGCGTCCCTTCCTTCTTTCCTGCGTCCCTTCCTTCTTTCCTGCGTCCCTTCCTTCTTTCCTGCGTCCCTTCCTTCTTTCCTGTGTCCCTTCCTTCTTTCCTGCGTCCCTTCCTTCTTCCCTGCGTCCCTTCCTTCCTTCTTCCCTGCGTCCCTTCCTTCCTTCTTCCCTGCGTCCCTTCCTTCCTTCTTCCCTGCGTCCCTTCCTTCTTCCCTGCGTCCCTTCCTTCTTCCCTGCGTCCCTTCCTTCTTCCCTGCGTCCCTTCCTTCTTCCCTGCGTCCCTTCCTTCTTCTCTGCGTCCCTTCCTTCTTCCCTCCGTCCCTTTCCTTCTTCCCCCTGTCCCTTCTTTCCTGCGTCCCTTCCTTCTTCCCCCCGTCCCTTCCTTCCCCCCATCATGTCTGGCTTTTTCTTATCTCTCTTGTCCGTGCCTTGTCTGAGAGAGAGAGAGAGAGAGAGAGAGAGAGAGAGAGAGAGAGAGAGAGAGAGAGAGAGAGAGAGAGAGAGAGAGAGAGAGAGAAATTGAAAGAGAGAAAGTCAATAAAATTTAGATGGAATACGGATATGGTAAAAGGAAGCGTAGATGACGATTTGAGTTTGATGGTGTGGATGGAGGTAGTGGTGGTGATTGATTATGGATAATTATTGATGGCTGGCGATCTTTATAGGCGGATATAAAAATTGATGACTAGGGCGGTTCGATTGACACGGACACGGGACCGCAGGCTCACACGGGAGTCGTAGGGCGGCCCTGCAGCTGTCGTAAAACCGAGCCTCGTAAACATGTAAACACCCGTCTTTCCTGGTTTGTCAAGTCCACCCCCCACCCCCTCTTTTCCTATCTCCCTATCGCGTATCCCATATCCCATTCCCTTTCCCTTTTCCTTTCCCATCCCATCCTATCCCTACTTTCCTCTCTACCTGGCTTCTGGTATATCCTGTCTCTGTTTACTCTTTTCATTCTGCTGACCTTCCTTGCCCCTCTTTGTTCTGTCTAAACCCCCCCCCCCTTCCCCCAAAGCGCGCATGAGCCGTCCAGGTCCGCGCAGCGTCCGGGGCGCTCTGGTAATAATAGATTGATTAGGGAGAGCGCCCTCCGCCGCCGCCGCCGACGAGCTCATTATAAGTATTGTTTGGATTATCTCCCGCTCTGACGAAGGTGTTGGCCTCCCTTCCTCTCCTTTCCCCCTTTCTCCCTACCTCTCTCTTTCTCTTAACCATTCTCTTCTCCCTCACCTCAATCCTCCCCCTTCTTTCCCTTCTGCTACATTCCGGCCGATTATAAGTAAACGAGTCATACCTCCAGCTCAGCCTCCTCCTCCTCCTGCCTCCCTCCTAATGTGTTTTCCGCTTCGTTATAACATTTATCAAACTTCGCTATTTCGGGAGCCATGGTTTTAAAAATCCAATTTTGACTGCCCTCATTAAGGCCGTACCCTCCCCTCTGTATACCAGCTCTCAGCGCTTCGTCAGTTCTTAGCACGCGCATTTACACTTGCATCTTCCCCTCCCTCTTCCCTTCGTTCCTCGATCTTTCCCTTTCCTCTCCCTCTCGATGCCCTGCCTTTCCACTTCTCTCCTCTTTATCATTACTCTTCTTCTTCCTCTCTCCTCGTCCCCTTCCCTCCCTGCTCTCCTCTCCTCTTCTCCCTTCTCTCTCCCTCCCCTCTCACCCCCTCTCACCCCCTCCCGTCCCTCCTCGTATCAGCAGCGATCCAAGGGCCCCTGAGGGATGCTCCATTTCCTGTGCCGCGGGATGTGCGTGGCCTTGGAGTCGCCGAGACCTAAACCTGTTGTGGCGCGAGGTCTTGCGTCTCCGTAATCCCACCTCGAGAGGCGCCTCTTCCCTCTTTCGTCTCAAACTCCTTTCTCTTCCTTCGTCGTTAGCTCGTCTCCCCCCTTTTCTCTTTCCCTTTTTAGTTCTCCCGTGTCCCTTCTCACGTTTCTCCTTCACCAGTCCTCCCGTTCCATCGCTCCCTTATCGCCCGATGGCCCGTATCTCCTTTTGAGATGCGACCTCGCTCTTATCACCTGCCCTTGATCCTGCACTCTATATATCGCTCCGTATTTATTAAAACGTATCCCTTCTCTCCGTGGAACTTTTATTTTCTTTTATAATTAAAAAAATGAAGGTCCCTCTGCCTGTTGGTTTTGTTTATGCAAGTCGTTAATCTTCCTTCAACCTTAAGTTCACTCCTTCTCCTGCCCTTCAGTCTCTTGTTGACCCCCCCCCCCCACTTCTCCCTCTCCCTCTTACGCTTCTGTCTCCCACCTTTCTTCTCCTCGCTTCTCTTGTCTCTCTTTTTCCTTCCTCTTCGGCATCACCCCCCCCTTCTCTCCCTCCAGCTTTCCTCATCTGTTTCTTATCCCCTCTCCTCACTCCCTTCCCCCCCCCTTTTCCCCTCGCCTCCTGTCCCCCTCTCTCCTTGTGGTGCGAGGTTGACGACGTGGACCTGTTCGCAGAGTCGTTGAGGGGGGGAAGGGGTGAAGAGGGGGGCGTGAGAGGGTGCCGGTTAATGACTTGGGAAAACAAGTAGATAAGAATAGATATTGTGCAAGTCGTAGAAGCAGCGTAGAGGGTTGTGATGATGATAGTGAGTTTGATGGTGATGAATGGTGGCAATGGCTTGAGATGGTGGTGGTGGTGGTATAAAATTGAGAGAGATTGAGGGGAAGGGAGTGTGTAGGAGTTTGTGTGTGTGTGGAGGGGGGGGTGGGGCACATGGGTGGAGTGGGCGGAGTTACACAAGTTGCGAGTTCATGATTTGAGAAGTTTAGGGTGTCCTTTTCTCGCCATTATTGAGAGGCGTGGATCTCTGAAAGTTTTTCTTCATTTTGCTTCTCTACCTACACTGGCTGGCGTCAAGTCGGAGATGTAAAGAAAACAGGAGTAATTGATCATTGTCAGTTTTTTTTGTTGCGAAAGATTGATACAGTATTGCACAAGTGCGAGGGTATGTATTTTTTCCCATTGAAGTTTGAAAAATGTGAGTGTAAAGCGAGTGTAAATGTTACACGAGCTTAAAAAAACACACCTGTAGACATGGTGGCAACAAGTGCACCGTATAATATCGCTGTAAAATAATCAATATATTTCGATATATTTTGTTCGTGCACCTTGGGAAATCCTCGACCTTTTGCATTATCATAGTCTTATTTTTCCAATATGACGTTTCAGGTGTTTTTTCAGGTGTTTTTTATGTATTTATCTGCACATGCCACTCACCAATATATTTTTCTTTTTTTTCCTAGCCATGCACTACAAATCGACCCTTCTTTCTTCAAAGACTTTACTTCTATTTTTTCCCCTACTTCTTGTCCTCGTGCATTCCAGTCTAACGATATGTCTTTTTTTTCGTTCGCAGGTGAGTAGCGGCCTGATGAGCGACGCCTGTGAAGCCTCGGGAGAGAGCAGCGCCGTAAGTACCTCCTCCGACGAGAGGATTTCTCTACCTTGTTGGCCACCGCATTTGTTTTTGCTTTTGTTTGATTTCAATGTCCTCTCACCATTGCTTGTTTGGCTTGGATTTTTTTGTTTCGGGTTTAGGTGTTTTGTTTGATTTGTGCCTGTGCGATTTTTATTTTATTATTTTTTTTTTGTTGTCCTTGCCCACGCACGCAAAGCTCGCCGTTATAACCCTTCAGACCCGGTTTGTGTCGGCCCGGTCTTCCCTCCTTCGTTTCTCGTCCCTCGCTCTCCACCCTTCATTCCTCACGTAATCGTGTCCCTTTTTGTGCACGCCCCTTTCGCACTCCTTTTTATATCCCGTTTTTTATGCCTTTTTTTTTGTTTTTGTTTCGTTTCCTTTGTCTCGCCTCTGACGCTTCCGCCGTCTGGCCATGCTGTTGCAAGTGTTCCTTGTACAAGCTGTTGCCGTATGCCTGTTGATAGCTTCGGGTGCTTCCTTAATTTACAAACCTCAAGTTTACAATATTACTGTAGGTCAATATCAGGTCAAACCAGATCCTAGAAGGTCACCTTAGGTCACTCAAGGTCACTACAGTTCTGCCAAAACCACTACTTTACTGCTAATGTCAGCCTCGTATTTGCTTTTGTTCCTGCCGCTTGCATAACATTCTGCAGATGCAGTGATTAGGACCTAATAAAGTCGTTATTTTATTGCATTTGATTTTTTTATTAACTAAAATGTTTTGAATTGTGAGATTTGTTCACTTTATGGGGATGGGGACGAGGGGACAAGGGGTGGGGGAAACTCAAGCCAACTTTTGCAGTTTGTCATTGAGAATTTTTATATGTTGTGGATAGCGCTTCGTCATCAACGTTCTTTTTCTCCCCCCTCTTGTTTTCAGTCTTCGATTTCCATTAATTCCTTCATTTGTACTCTATTGGGTCCTGTCTCTTCATGCTTGTCTTCTTTATGATTTTATGAGGTGCACACGCCCACGCTCACACGCACGCTATCATTATATATGTGCAATCACGCATGCATATACATCCATACATATGATGTTTTATGTTATCTAATTAATGTCTTTTCAGCGACACGGTTTTTATGAGAGTTGCCACTTCGTGACTGTTTTTTACCGCTAACATCATATAGTGTGACCAGAGGTGGTTTACTCTTATTGTTTATTGGACGCGTGTTTTTTCGTGGACAGTGATATAAATATATACACATCCCCCCCCCCCCTTTCGTTTCGCGTGATACTCCTGTTTCAGATTATAGCTGGCCCGTCCTTCGCTGTGATTAAGTGAGACGAGATTGTACTGTGTATAAAATGGGGGGGGGGGAGTGTCTTTTAACATGTGGTCATAGTTGTTTGTGATGTTGATTAGAAGGAAGGCGAACGACAAGATTAAGAGGAAGAAGAAAAAAAAAAAACACGACAGCTTGAGAGTACCGAGTAGTGAGCCTTTTTTGAAGCGAACGACGTCAAGATACATGGGGTACGGAGGCATTAAGGTGTGTGTCGCTAATTCAGCACGACAGGAAATGTTCGTGAGTGATGGCACGGGACATGGTTTTGACATATTTTTTTTCGTAATGGGGATGGGGGGGGAGGGGGGGAAGGGAATTCACTCCACCGGAAGATGTAAGGCTAAGGCGGGATGGGGAATGGGAAGGATAGGGGCATTTTCGTTGGCATTTTATGGGTGTGTTGGCATAGAATCTCGTTTGTTCGTGTGTTTGAGATACCGTGGGCAGCGAGGGGCACTCCTTGCTGTGTGTGTGGGCTGCCATAACCCTGGAGTGCGAGGCGTTACAACTCGTTATACTGATGGCAGCAGAATAGGAATCTCTCCCTCCCTCTTTCTTCCTCTCTCCCTCTTTCTTCCTCTCTCCCTCTCCCTCCCTCTCCCTCCCTCTCCCTTCCTCTCCCTTCCTCTCTCCCTCTCCCTTCCTCTCCCTTCCTCTCCCTTCCTCTCCCTTCCTCTCTCCCTCCCTCTCCCTCCCTCTCCCTCCCTCTCCCTCCCTCTCCCTCCCTCTCCCTCCCTCTCTCTCTCCCTCCCTCCCTCCCTCCCTCCCTCCCTCCCTCTCTCTCTCTCTCTCTCTCTCTCTCTCTCTCTCTCTCTCTCTCTCTCTCTCTCTCTCTCTCTCTCTCTCTTTCTCCCTCCCTCCCTCCCTCCCTCTCTCTCTCTCTCTCTCTCTCTCTCTCTCTCTCTCTCTCTCTCTCTCTCTCTCTCTCTCTCTCTCTCTCTCTCTCTCTCTCTCTCTCTCTCTCTCTCTCCCTCCCTCTCCCTCTCCCCCCCGCTTTCCCTTTCCCTTTCCCTACCTACTCCCCACTCCCTCCCGGTAAACACGTGTCATGAGCGGAAGAGGGCGTCTTAGCGTCTTTTCGCATCTCACACGGTCGTCGTTTGGCAGGTGAGAATTGATGACTTGTGTGAGTGAGGGAGGCTTTCTCGTCTCCTCTCTTCTCCCCCCCCCTCCTCTTTTCTTTCCCCCACTACCACTCCCCTACTTACCTCTATTCCTTCCCCCTCTTCGTGATCCCTGTCACCTTCCTCCCCCTCCCCTTCCCTTCTCTTTCCTCTCCTCTCTTCTCCTCTCCTCTCCTCTCCTCTCCTCTCTTCTCCTCTCCTCCATCCCCTCCCCTCCCCCCTCCCATTCCCCTTCCCCCTCCCATTCCCTCTCCCCTCCCCCTCCCCCTCCCCTGTTCACCCTCGTGCGTTTTCTGGGTTGGCAGGTACATGGCACGGATGGCACCTCGCGATAGTGTTGTATGCAAACAAGTCCTTTGCGAAAGGGAGAGGGGGATAGGTTCGTAGATGGATGGGCAGATACGGTAGATAATTTAAGGATTAATAGATAGGGATGGGGAAGGATAGATGGCGATAGATGTGTAAGTGGAGGAGTAGAAGTAGAAGTAGTAGATGCAGGAGCAGGAAGAGGAGTAGTAGGTGGAGGAAGTGACATCGCTGTGGGCGTGGGATTGGTCGCAGCGAAGGCGTCTGCAGTGGTGGTCTGTTGCTTCTCTACGACACGCGCGCGCAAAAAAAAAAGACCTTTGTCGCCGGAATTTACTTATTTGCCAACCGGTTTGTAGAAAATCGTTCCAAGTCGAAGAGGTACTCGGCGTGTAATTCAGCGATACAAGTCGTTTTTTTTTCTAGCTTCGGGGAGGGGCCGGGGGATGGGGGTGGGGGGGTAATCTCTGTCGATGATTCAGACTTCGGGAAGACGGGGCACTTGTAACGGTTGGGCTCTATCCATCTATTTATCCTTCCACCTGTCTTTGTGATTCTGTATCTGTATGTATGTTTTTGTATCTATATCAGTAAGTGTCTGTGTATCTATATCTGTATGTATGTATGTATGTGAATCTATACCTGTATGTATGTCTATTTCTTTATGTCTCTCTTTATCTGGCATGTTATCAGGCAGTCCATTAATCCAACCATCCATCTTCCTATCTGTAAACCCGGGTGTCTTATCTGTCCCTATATTTTTTTTATCGGTCTCGCGTGCGTAGAGGCCGGCCGGTACACGTGGGCCTCCCCCCCCCTCCCCCATGGAAAGGGAGAGCGTGGGAGGTCTGTTATTAGAGGGACTGTTATAACCCGTGTTGCCCCGCCGACGTGGTGGTGATGGAGGGCCGTTAATGGGGGTGGTTTGTTTTTTCTTGTTATATGTTTAGATATTTATTTTTTAACTGGTAAGGTTTTTTTTCATGTTGGTTCTCTGCCTTTCGGTTGTTTTAATTTTTTTTTTGCCTTTTTTTCATTCCCTTCTCTCTTCTCTCTCCCTTCCCTTCGTTCTCCAGTCTTTATTCTCACCTCCCCTCACTTCTCTCCCACTCGTTCTTTCCCTCCCCTCACTCCATTCTGTTTCTCCCGTTTCCGTTTGATTAGTCTCTTTCTGTCCCATTTCTATCCCCATTTCCCCCTCTCCCCCCTCTCTCCTCCAAGGCGTTTCGTCGTCGGATGATCCGCGTCGCCGTCTATCACAGGGGGGGTGGGGCACCTTCCGCCAGCAGCAGGAGCAGGAGCAGGCTATGCTATCGTGGAGGCGTCGCGTCAATGATCCTTGATCTCCTCGGGCCATTTCTTTCCTGGGCAGATTTTTTTTTTCTTAGTAATTTGAGGGAAGATGGCTTCCTTCTGTTCCTTCCTCTTTCCTCTTACTTTTCTGTCCCCTTCATGGTTTTTCTTCCTTGGTCTTTATCTATTATCCTTCCCACTTTTCCAATCTCCTTTCCCTTCCTTTCCCTCATCTCGCTTCCACCCCCACCTTGTTCTTCTCTCCCCTCTTCCCCTTCCCATTCTCCTTCCCTTTCTCCTTCTCCTTCTTCTTCTCCTCCTTATAACACCTACCTCCGTTGCGTGTGGGGGGAGAGATGGATTAACGATATAGATATGGTAAAAGTTGGAGGGAGGTGGGGAGGGGGGGAGGCATATCTGGTTGCTCTTTCAGATGGTGTGGGGGAGGAAGAGGAGGGAAGGAAGATGGGAAGGTGCAGAGGAGGATCAGGAGAGAGAGACGGGGGCGGAAGCGTTGCAGCTTGCGCCCGTCATAGCTGTTGCAGGTTACAGCTCTGTAGTGGCAAAGCGCCGCCGCTTGGGATGTGGGCGTCCGCCGCCGCCTCCGCCACAGGCGATCCCCCCCTCCCCCCTCTCTCTCTCTCTCTCCTCTCCCTCTCTTTCTTTCCCCCCCTCCCCTTTCACCCCCCTGTTCTCCGATCCTTTACGTCCATAACGTGTTTATTTCTTGCTTTTTTTTCAATCTACCAGATCTATTCGTTATCAGTCTCGCCCTCGAACCTTATGTTCCTCCTCCTCCCTCTACTCCTCCATCATCCCGTCTTTTCTTCCCTCACACCTCTTTCTCTCCTTCCTCCCCCTTCCTCCTTCCCGCCCTTTCTTTCTCCTCCCGTTTCACTGCAAAGACTACATCCACCTTAACCTTCACCACCACTCCACCACTCCCTCCAGCACTTCCACCACCACCAACCGAAC